AAAGGGCCTGGCACCCCGGTGCCACACAGCTGCTAACCCACCCGCCGGGGCTGGTGACACCACCACCAGCTTCTGGCTTCATCGTTGTGAGAACTGTGCTTCTTCTCTGGGCTGGGACCCAACAAGACTGACGGCCCCAATCACTTTGTGCTGTGCTCCCTTCTGCAAAACGGGAACAGCACCCCTTGCGCAGATCCACAGAGCCTCATGAGCCGGCTGGGTGGTGAAACCTGTGCTGGTTATACTGAAAAAACCTCTGGGAGGACACTGGAGCCATCAGAGAACAGTCAAGGGGAAACAACTACATGGCAGAAAAAGAGAATCAAAGATAAGGGACAGCAGGTGAATGCAAAAACCATGCACTGAGAAGGCGCGGATGCAGAGAGCCAGGGAAGGGAGAAGGTGCTAGGGAAAACCCACCACGACTTTCCAAACTTCTCCTGCAGCTTAGAAACAGGCCCCAGCGCAACTGGAGTTGAATCCTAAGTCATCCTCAGCTGTCTTCAGAAGATCTTTGGGAGATACCCAGCCCATCAACTGCAGCGGCCAGAGCCTGAGAAGCATCCCCACTTCCCCAAAGGCTGGAATTGATAATCCCTTTTCATCACAACCTGCTCTGCCCAAACCCAGGATTTCAAAACATTTTGCACCAGTTCTCAGTCTGAACCTTGCAGCTACATGGAGATGGTGGGGAAGATGCCTTTCTGTCCTCAGACAAAGTGAGAAACTGAGGCAGGCAGAAGCTAAGTGACTGAGCCAAGACAACGTGACACATCCACGGCAGAGCCAAAGTTAAAAGGCGGATTTCCCTGCATGAAGCCACGCCTTACGATCTAAGCTACAAAACTCCTTTTTCTTGGAGACCTAGCCTGCTCTCTCCTCCACTCACTGCATCCCAAAACCAGGACAGGGGAGCAATGTGTCCGGCACGCAGCACCTCCCAGTCCCAGTGGCTTGCCGAGCTGTCACACTGGGGAGCGGGTGAGGATGCCTGGCTGGCTCCCCCCGAGCCTCCCCGGCCGAGACGGAGGGTCCCGCTCGCAGGCCTCGGGGAGCGTGGGGAAAAAGGCGCCAGCCACGACTCATTTGGCATTCCGAGAGGCGGGTGCGCAGCATCCCCATGCCGGCAGGGGGTAAATGAGAGCGCAGACATGAGTTATTGGAGCACTTACGTTCCCAGATTCTCCCAAACGTCGGGAAAAGGACAAACTGTTTAGTTGTAAAGAGCCTGGGGGGTGTGAACGGGGGAGGAGAAGGAGGAGGGAGCTGTGTCAAACCAGTTCCATGAAGCAGAGACTTTGAAATTGAAGTCATAAGAGCTATAGATAGGGAGGGAGCGTGGGGGGACCAACCGCCAGTGGAAGCCCATGAGCCTCCAGTTTGGATTCTAGCAGCAAACTGGGGACCCAGTTAGCACCCTCAGCACCAGTCAGTGGGATCAGAAGGGCGGGTACAGCACAGCCCACAGTCAACGCTTACCACTTGGCTGCCTGCTGGGCTGCACTGGTTGGGAGGCAGCTTCAGCTGTTCAGGAGAAGACAGAAAGAAAGCTGGGAAGAAGGGGAGACAATAATTTTTGTCAGAAAGGGACTGTAGGTACCACAAATATTGGAGACCCCCCAAACTTTTGATAGACTTGATCTAGACTTAGCTACAACAAGCCTCGTTCAAACACGCAGTCCTTAAACTAAGTGGTGCTGGTCACAGACTAAGTGGTTGCACGGTGGGGAGGCCCCAGGCACATGCAGTAATACTCGGGAGAACCACAGTGAAACTGCGGGTGCAGTACGGCCAGCGACACGCAAAGCACGTCCCAGAGAAAGCTTGGACCTAGTGCAGTTTCTGTAGCTGGATCTTCCAGTAATTAGAGATGTACGACAGTGGGTTAGAGGGGCCAAACTCTGCCGTAGGAGAGCTATAAACCCCCCAGAAGCTAGCACTCTTCATGGCGATCTTCACCATCCCAAATATGGCGCAAATCAGATTCACATCAGCTGCTGGATTTACCAACACAGTGAGATGAGAGGAACCAGCCTGGCGTTCCCCTGC